CAAACAAACAAAAAAAGTGTCACGTACATAAAAGGTCCTTTTGGGAATGGGCAAGGGGTGGGATTTTTCTGGTCACTGACTTGAAATATATTTTTATTTTGAGTTTTGTCCTTCATGTTTTATGGAATAAAAAGTTCGGCCTTTTTATTGCATGAAACTAAAACTGGGACAGGTGGGGGGACTGGAGGAGGAGGGTGGGGGCTGAGGGGGAGCAGGGAGACGCCCCTCCCCAGCTCCTGGGTAATGACACCTCACTTCTTCTTGCATAATTTCTGGCATCTTCCCGCCTGAAATGCCGGCTCTCTCAGCGTCTCGGAGAAGAGGAGGGGGTCACACGCTCATCGTCATGCTTGGAGAATACTGCAAGGGGCGAAGCAGAGGCGGGGTTGTGAGGGCCAGGGTGTGCGAGCCTTGGGCGCTGGAGAGGGCCCGTCCGGGGAAGCCTGGGACGGCTGTGCAGGCTCAGCACTGGCCTGTGCCTCGCCATGGTGGGAGCTCCGGGGGCTGCCGTTACCCCCACCCTGCCCCCCCTTCTCAAATCTCCCCCCAGACACTGCCCACCCCACCCAGGGCCGGCTGGGCTGCTTTCCTGCAGGGCCGAGCCAGGGCTCTGCCAGGGTGCCCTGTGCGGGAGCCAGTCTGGGGGGGGTCTCAAAAGCTGCTAGAGCATGACCTTGTTTCTTCAAATGAGGTGGTAAGTAGAAGCCAGCCCCTCTGCACAGAGACCCCAGGAAATCTCTGGTTGCACGAACCTTCCTCCCCAGGACAGAAAGAAGTGGACCCCCAGAGGCCATGCTGCCCAGAGGCCCAGAGCACCAGAACCCAGGCCTCTTGAGTCCCACCCCAGGGCTCTTCCAGCCACATCCACTTTCTCGGTGTTGGAGGCATTGTGGCTCCCTGTAGATGCCTCCAGAAGGACCTGCCAGTGGTCAGGGTGGCAGTGGTTGGGGCCATGCGGGGGGTGGGGGGTGGGGGGCTCCGCACCTTGTGGAGAAAAGGGACCAAGGAGAAAGCCAGTGGCATGGCTGCTGGGACACCAGTCAGCCAGGCTAGTCTTGGCCAGCAGGCGCCACAACTTGTTCAATGAACAGCCCCTGGCCCCGTAAGAGGAGGAATCCTGGGGCAAAACTGGGGGGGAGGGGGGCACGCAGCACTTACATTGTCATTCTGGAAGGAGTGGAGGAAGTTCCCTCCTAGCTCACCGTCGTCCCGAGGGGTGCCTGGAGGGTTGCTAATGCCACTTATGTTGTTAGGAGAATTCTGGAGAGAGCAGAGAGGAGGTGAGCCCCAGCGCCCCAGCAACTGGCCCACCCGACGGGGAGACAAGCTTTCTGGGGCCTCGGGGCTGGGGCAGGGTGGATGCTGTCAGGGAGGAAACCGAATACACACTCACTTTTGGAAGTCCATCTATGTCACCTGACCCTGGAAGGAAGGAAGGCTCAGATTCAGTTTCCTGTTTGCTCTTCCGTGGAGAGGCCTCCAAACCCACCCAAATCCCACACTACTTCTGTGCAGAGTCTCCTGTCCTGGCTGGATCTCTGTGGATCTTCATCCGGGCCCAGCCAAGGCCAGCTGGGGGGCGGGGGGGGGGGGGACCAGGCCTGGCTGAGTGCAGTGTGACCATGGGGCCGGTGCCCGCTTACCTAACGATCCATTCATGTGGTGTGGCTCCATGCCGCCCATGCCTCCCATCGGGCCGTCCGAGCCTGGACCCATCGGGAACTGGGGGAGAAGCACAGGGCGTGGTGGCTGAGTGGGCCCGAGGCCCTTTGCAGCTCTCTCCTGGGCTCCCACACCCAGCTGCAAAAGAGCTGTGCCCTCAGGGGGCTTCCGTTCTGGCGGGCCCCTCGGCTGGGCCCCCGGAGTTGTGCAGGGCAGAGGTGCTCCACCCTATGCACCAAATGAGGACACAAACCCAGAGAGGGAAAGACACTGGGCCGGGGCCACACAGTGTCGCACCGGGACAGCTCTCTAACCAAGTGGCATGGACTTGGGCTCTCTCTGTCCCTGGGGTGGACGGTGCGGCTCCCCAGTCAGAACCTCGCACAGAAACACACACACAAATGGATGACTGCCTGGGCCCGGCGAGGGCCCGAAAGTATTAATGCTTCTCCGCCCCATTTTACAGATAAGGAAACCTTAGCACAGAGAGAGCGGGAAATGCTTTGCCGGAGGCCCCGTCCCCCTGGAGATGGGAGGAGCTGGGACGGGGGCACGGCCTCTGAGTGCTGCCTCAGAGATGAAGGAGTTCCAAGGGGGAGGTGAGGAGATGGGGTCTACCGGGCACCTGGTGGGGGGGAGGGGAGGAGCTGGGCAGGGGACAGTGTGGAGGGAGGCCACTGAGGACATCCCCGTGGCGAAGTGGTGGCGCAGGCTGATCAGAGGCCAGAGGCGAATCTGCTCCAGCCCCACCAGCCTCAGGCCTGTGGAGAACCGTTAAGACCATCTCAGAAAAGCAGCAATCAAACGTCACATGGTCACGAAGGGAGGGCTGAGCCCCATCCGGACAGCCAAGGCCCTGTGATGCAGACCGGACGTCAGGGTGGACAGGGGTGCACTGCGTGGCATCTGGCCCGTGCTGGGGGCTAGGGACACAGAGCCGAGTCACAGCTGGGTCTCAGCCCGGAAGAGGAGCCCACAGCTGCGGACGCCCAACTTCCCTGTGGGACAGACGTGCGGCGTTCCAAAGGGAGCTGTAGACAAGGCAGGGCCGAGACTTCAGGAAGAGGCACTGGGGAGAGGGCAGAGAAATCCAAACAGGCTGCACGGAGGAGGAGGCAGAGGACCAAAATAACTGAGGGGTAGGACTTGGGCAGGCAGAGACAGGTCGTGGAAGCCATTCTAGGTAGGGGTCCCGCGCAAGCACAGGAAGAGGCAGCTGGCAGCAGGGAGTGCAGGAGGAGACCAGGGTGCCCAGGCTGCAGGGGCGGGGCTGGGGCGCAGGTGCTCCCTCTCGCCCATCCACCCAAACATGGACACCCCAGCCGCAGCCTCCTTGCCTCCCGCTGCCCCAGAGGCTTCCAAGGGCCACGCACAGACACCAGGGCACATTTTTGACCTCTGGCAACAAATTTCACACTTCTTAATCCCAATGAGAGGACAAGGGTGACTGACGTTTTAGGGAGTCAACTCAGGACACAGCCCCCTCGGACAAAACATTCTCCAAGCATGGTAAGGTCATGAACACAGAACTCTAACAGAATATATTTAAAAAGATTTGAAATTATATATCATTGTGGTTTTTTGTGTATTATTATTATCGTTATTTTAAGTAGGCTCCATGCCCAGAGTAGACCCCAACACAGGGCTTGAACTCATGACCCTGAGATCAAGACCTCGGCCGAGATTAAGAGTCAGATGCTTAACTGATTGAGCCACCCAGGCGCCCCTCTTGCATATTGTCTTTAACAGCTTTACTGAGATATAATTCACATACCATACAATTGGCCCATTTCAAGTATACAATTCAGTGGTTTCTCGTGTATTTAGATTTGTGCAACCACCACCACCATCCATTTTAGAACCTTTTCATCACCCCACGAAGCGGCCCTGTACTCATTAGCAGTCCCTCCTCATTCCCCCAGCCCCAGACAACCGTTAACTTGTTTCCTGCCTCTGTGGATTTGCCTGTTCTGGGCATTTTGTATAAACGGAATCCTACATGAGCTTTGGTGGCTGGCTCCCTTCACTCAGCCTGTCTGCAAGGTTCACCGATGCTGGGGCATGGAAGAGTACTTCATTCCTTCTCTGGCCAAATCACACTCCAGCGTACACAGAGACTGCATGCCCTCTATCCCTTCAGCCGGGGGACGCTGAGGTTGTTCCCACTTTTTAGCTATCACGAGCACCGCCGCTCCCAACACTTGCGAGCCATCACTAGGTGGACACGCGCTTTGTTTCTTGTGGGGAGAGACCAACCCCAGAGTGGAAGCACCAAGGCACGTGGGGCTCCTGCGTAGCCTTTCGAGGACCTGCCAGACGGCTCTCCACAGCAGCTGCATCCTTTTCGGTTCCTACCTCCTGAGCGTGCAGGGCTGAGCTCCTTGTGGTTTTCATTTGCATTTCCCTGACGACAACGAGGCGGGGCGGGGTGTCCTTTTGTGTGCTTGTTGGCTACCAGTGCGTCTTTGGAGAAATGCCTGTCCCGACCCTCGGCCCATTTTTTAAACCAGGCTGTTTTTTCATGACTGAGTTTTAAGAGTTCTTTGCATATTTTGGATTCGAGTCCCATATCAGGTATGTGATTTGCAAATGTTCTCTGCACCCTGTGGGCTGTGTTTTTACCTTCTGGAAGGCGTCCCTTTGAAGCGCAGAAGTTTTCAGTCTTGATCAAGTCCCATTTACCTGCTTCTTGCTTTTGTTGCCTGTGCTTTCCAGGGTCATACGGGAGAAGGCTTTGCTTCCAGCCAGGCGCCGGCGATGCACGCCTGTTGCCCTCCACGCGTTCCGCCGCTTCAGCGCCGCCGGGCAGATTGGCTGTGCGCGGCGGAGTCTGGGTGTCTGTGTGAACCACGCTCCGACCTCACACACCTGCCCTCCCTGCACCACTCCTTTATTGTGTGTTAGTGACCTTGTTACACACAAGCTATTATCTCAAAAAAGCCAGAGTAAGGCTAGTTAACGGGAGCAGTGAACAGAGGACTAGTTAAATGAACGGTTTGAGAAAAACATAACATTTTTATGTTTCTGTCCTCTAATACAGTAATTTATTTGAGCTCTTTATTGGGTATTTAAATTTTGTAGGCTCTATTACTATATAGTCTTAAAATATACAAATGTAAGTTTTTTTTTTAAAAGCTAAATGCGATGGACTGATTAAACAGATACTACTTATGTTTGATTTTTAAAAATCACATTTATTGGGGTGCCTGGGTGGCTCAGTCGGTTAAGTGTCCGACTCTTGATTTCAGCTCAGGTCATGACCTGATCAGGGTTGTGGGACTGAGCCCCAAGTCAGGTTCTGAGCTCAATGGAGTGGGGAGTCTGCTGGAGATTCTCGCTCTCTCTCCCTATGCCCCTCTGCCTCCCCTCTCTTCTCTCACTCCCACACAAGTGGGCTCCCCTTGAATTAATATTCATTTTAGAGAGAGTGCAGGCAAGAGCACAAGCAGGGGGGGAGGGTCAGAGGGAAAGAAGCAGACACTCAGTTGAGCAGGAAGTCCGACACGGGACTTGATCCCAGGACCCGGGGGCCATGACCCAAGCTGAAGGCAGACACTTAACTGACTGAGCCACCCAGGTGCCCCAATAAATAATCTTTTAAAAAAATCACGAGCATCCGGATGGGTACACAGGAGGCCACATTTCTGGATGGGCCCGGGCCAGGTCAAGAAGACACGGCTGGAGTTTTCCCCAGGGGCTGCGGTGGAGCTGCTGCGGTGACCCAACTTGTTTTCGTGGGTGCAACAGGGCAGGTGACTGCTCTCCCCCCAGAACTTCTCTGGATTGCCTGCAGCCTCTAGGCCATGCTTTTTAATTTCTTTAGGTAGTGGTAAACTGAATACAGAGGCAAATGCAAAGTTCACTGTGACCTGCTGCTTTGCTCTTATCAGGCCCTGCTGTCAGTCCAACACGGTGACACGGAAATAGCCTCTCTACAAACATGTCTGTGCGTGGAGTACTTGGGATGTCACTGACTCGCACGGGTTTTTGGACCTGCAAGAACTCCCTTCCAACTCTCCTAAGAGGTCCATCATACTCTATCTACAGGCTCGTTTAAGGAGACCAGCGCTTGCCAGTCGGGACCTCTGCATCCCTAAATCCATCAGCAGGCCTGTCCTGTCTCAGATGTCCATCACCTCTAAGTGTTCCAAAGCACCGTGGATGTTGTTCTCACTTAAACCTCTCTCTCAGGGAAGTGGCTTAAAGCACAGAGGTGAGATGAACTTGTGAGATCCAAGCGGGACTCCAAATAACTTATAGTTTTTCTAAAAAAAGATTTATTTCAGAGAGAGACACAGCACACCAGCAGCGGAAGCAGACTCCCCACTGAACAGAGCCCGATGAGGGACTCGATCCCAGGACGCTGGGATCACGACCTGAGCCGAAGGCAGACACTGAACCGACTAAGCATCCCAGATGCCCCGTATGTTACAGTTTTATTCAAGAAGCTGAGAAAGTGCTATTTAATGTGGCTGCTCTTTACTGGTGACAGGTTTTGAGTTCTCGGGCAATCTCATTTCCAAAACCCAAGTCCCTACAGTTCGGCCGATGAGGTTTTGATGCAAACCCCCCAACCCCACCCCACCTCCCCCAGTGACTCAGAAGCGGTCTGCTCATCCTCTTCTAGGCTCCTGGTGGCCTCCTGGAAGATCACTGAACGGTTCTAAATCCACAGCGTAAACATTTCCATCTTCCTGGAATTCCTCTACATTCTCATCTCAGTGCGGTTCCCATTAGAGAAGAATGTCACGGCAGGCTGACCCATTAATACCTTTTCTATGCGGGGCCTCTCTCCCCTTCAACCAAGTCCAAAGTCCCGTTAAGTGTATCTGCACATTTTGAGAAGACGGACAGGTCACCCAAACCTTTCATTATGAAAGCCTGGCATCACAGGTGAGCAAGCCATACCCTTTGGCAGCAGAGCTGGGAACAAGGTGTGCGGGACAGTTAGCAGGTAATAAGTTCATACACCAAATGAAATGTGCCAAATATGCAGATAGAGGGGCCAAGTCGAGCTTGTATTTAGACAAGAGCCATCTTTCATTTGTTTTCTGCAGTTTCATTAAAATCGTCACAGAATGGGCTCCTGGGTGGCTCAGTCGTTAAGCGTCTGCCTTCGGCTCAGGTCATGATCCCAGGGTGCTGGGATCGAGCCCCACATCAGGCTCCCTGCTCTGCGGGGAGCCTGCTTCTCCCTCTCCCACTCCCCCTGCTTGTGTTCCCTCTCTCGCTGTGTCTCTGTCAAATAAATAAAATCTTAAAAAAAAATAAATTAAAAAAATAAAATCGTCACAGAAGTCAACACACCGATGTGAAGCTCCCTCCAGCTTTTGCGTCAAAGTACCGAAGAGCTGGGGGACGTGTTTTTGTCACCATGATGCGAGGCACCACTTGACAGACTGTGAGAAGCTCCCGATTGCTGGCAAGAGCTGACAGAATCAGCTGGAAATCGAAACGCCCCCTTCTGTTGGCACACAGGTGCAGCCACTGAACCCGGGAATGGAGCCTCCTCAGTTCACGGAGCCACAGCAGGAAGGGCATGGTGGCAGTGGCAGTGCCCCAACTAATCCGCTGGCCGCCCTCCCTGGCTGAGCTGGGGCGCCTCTCGGACCGCGTGAGAAGCTGTGCTGTCTGGCCCGGACCCGCACCCCAGGGCCTCCGTGCCCCCTTCTGCCCACCGTGCGGGACCTCCGTGTTCATCATTCCCCTCCCTCAACGCCGTGTGTCCTCCCGCCTGGCAGCCGCCAGTCTGGTGAGGTCGGGGCCCCACTGGCGCCCATACTCACAACGTGGAAAATGAGGCCGGCACGATCCTGACACAGAGCACAACAGTGAGTCCGCAGGCGCAGCCAAGGCTGACCCCGTCCGGGCCACCGTGCACTTGAGCTGCCCCCGGAGGGCCGTGGTGTGGACGGTCCACTGGGAGCTCGCAGGCCACGAGCGCTGGCGTCCGTGGTCAGGGAAGGGGCAGCCGCAGCAGAAGGGTCCTCTCTGCCATTTCCAACTGACGCGGAGCCCAGTGAGCTCAGTCCCTGGCTTTGGGGCTGCTCCAAGAGCCCTGCTCCCTCCCACCCAACCTTCTGCATCCACTGCCAAAACCCTGGACGCTCGCTGTCCTGGGACACAGAGCTTTTAGTGATGCTAAAACCTGATGCTTGGTCGCCCTAACGAGAAGCAGGGGTGACAGGACTGCTGGCTGCCCAGGAGAGGGACAGGGGTGACGAGGCAAGGGTGAAGGAGTGCGGGTCCCATGCTTCTCAGTCACGTGATCCTCGGGTTAGGTCCCCCTGCATCCAGCGGCATCCAGAAGACTGAACACGTGCACCGTCCAGCATGGGGCAGCCCCCGATCGGTGTTTAGGCCAGTGGTGATTCAAGTGTCACATCAGGACCCAAACCCACAAAACTGAACGAAGCACCCCCAAAAGGCCAGAAAAACTTTGGGGCCCCACACCCACCCTCTGGCTCTGCAGCCCAGACTGTTCGTTTGGTCCCCCAGCAGCCTCCTTTCCAGACACACTCCCCCGAGGCAAGGCCAGCGTGAGTCACCTCCCTCGCCTGGTGCAGAAAAGCTGTCTGCAGAGGTGAGTCACACCAGCCCTCTCCTCAGGGAGCTCCCAGCTGGGAGACGGGAGACAGGCCACAGCTGCAGAGTCAAAGGGCCATCCGGCACAGGACAGGGGACACGGAGGTGGCGGGTGAGCAGCAATCAGACGAAGTGGAATTTGAGCTGCGACATCACTGAGGGTTGGGACCTGGAGAAGCCCAGAAGGGGCGGGGGGGGGGGGGTGGCGGCTTCCCAGCCAGGCAGTGACACAGGAGAGGCCAGGAAGCCCCAGGATGCAGGAGTCACGGGGCTCCCAAAGGGGCTGGAGGCACAGGGCAGGCAGGTGTCCAGACGGGCTCCAGGAACCCACAGCCCCAGACCTGAGAGAGCGACAGACTGGCCCAGGGCGGCACAGCCCGTCAGCAGGGCAGGGTGGGGCCCGGGTCCAGCCGCAGCCTAGCGCTTTCCCTCACGGACATCCCACTCGGAGCAGCGGGGACCCGCACAGCGAGGCCAGGTGCCCCGCTCTGACCAGAGGGGAGAGGGTACCATGCTACCCCCCTTCTCTCCCAGCTATGAGATGGGAACCGAGTACCCCAAGAGTTAATCACTTTTCTGACGGTTTATTTTATTCATCTTTGGTAACAAATGGCTGAAATCAATTAAACTTGCTTTCCCCTCAGCTGATGAAGTTAATTATGATTTGTTATGGTATCTGATATGTAAATTATTAGAAAGCGGACTTACGTTGGACCGGCTGCCTCCAGGCGGCACCGGATTAATCATTGTGTAGATGTTGTCACTGGAATTTGTTGAATCTGTAGAACAGTGGAAACCCACAAGTCGGGGTGATTAATTCATTTCTTAATTAAAACAAACTCGTGGCACTTGAACTCATTCTTTTGTATTTTATCACCTAAAATCTCCTCTAAGTGCCACCATTTTCTGGCTAATTTGTATTTAATGAAGATTCACCAAGTTTTTAATCACAGAAAATTCAACTGTGAAAAAACCACTCAACCCTGAAACGAAGAATCCCAGGACGTCTGGACGGCAGCGTGAACGTGGCAAAGGGGGGTGGGGTGGGAGGTCCGAATTCTCATCTCCCCACCCCAAACCCAATGTGGTCCCCAGACACTGCTGGGCACTGTGCAGGGACAGCCACCTGCGTCCCCCCACCCCCAATCCCACCCAGCGGCTTTAATCACATCGGGGAAAGAGAAACGCCACAAATTACCCAGGGGCCACCTTGCCAAGCTGATGGGGCAGGAGGGGAGGCAAGGATGGGGCTGAAGACGCATTAACATAGGAGCGGTTTAATGTGGCCCAGTCTGAATGTAGGTCACGCAGCTCATCGAAATGCAGCAGCAGAAAGAGAGAGAGGGAGTGGGGGCCAGAACGTCACAGCCACCCACTCCCCTACTGCTCCTGGGGGTCGGGGAGTCTGGGGACAGAGGGACCCCTCCATCTCCCCCAATTAACTAGAAAAGTCTCCTTAGAAAACCAGCTAGCATGTTTCTATCAGGAGCAGGCACCCTATTTCTCAGGGAGAAATCCAGCTACCTCTCGCTTCTTATTCTTTGGGTAGGTGAAGACTGGTGGAATTCCTTCTAGATGGTAGTGTGTTATTCTCAGCTGGGAGAGAAACACAAACGTGATGGCTGTGTGTGTGTGTGTGTGCGTGCACACCCACGTGTGTGCACGCATGCCCTCTTTTGATCTAAGAAAGAGGGAGAAGCGATCTCCTATAGAGAGGACCGGAAGCCAAGAGTTCGAGGAACTCAAGAGGCATCATGTTATATGGTCCTGGTCCCAGGATGCCAGCATTCCAAAGCCCCTTTTTAGTGACCGAGAGAAATGCACAGCCAGAGCAGGTTTGAGCCGAGGATAGTGAGACCCCTCATTCCTGGATCTCCCCCACTCTGCCCCATCCCTTCAATCAAAGAGGAAGAGTGACCTGGCTGAGGCCACAGGGCAGGTTACTGGCAACAGGGGCCTCCTGCCTCCTAACTCCCTGACACTAAGATACTGGTGGAGGCAACGCTGCCCAGGAGGAGTAGCTGGTTAAGCTTTGGCCCTGCACTTGGGCCCCTCCGGGACCCCTTGCTCCCTCAATGGCACCCTTTCCCCAAGCCTTCTTACCTGCAGGACTAGGCATGATGGGTGTTCCTGGGGGGCCACCACCACCAGGAGGTCCCTGGAAATGAGATAAAAATGGCCATCAAAAACCCACGACAACAATACAGGTGGGGAGAAGTCACCGAGCTCCAGAGACATCAAAGGTGAGGGCTCACGCAGGGCCCAGCCCAGTATTCAGCTCTCGCTAAAGCTCAAGCAGAGTCTGAGTGTTCAAGCCTTGGGGGAGCTGGACTTGGGACTCCCTCCCCGCCCCCGACACCCGCCCCCATCCTTTCTTCAAACCCAGAGGCAGCCATGGCACTGGGTGGAACCAGAGGCCTGTGATGGAAACCAGCTGGGCCCACTGGTCAGCCCCCGAGATGGGGACCCAACTATACGTCTTGTTGGGGGACTTCTGGGCCACCAGAAGGTGGAGATACCTGTACAGTGACAGCAGTTCTAGCACAGTTTGGAACGTGTGCTCAGAACGTGTTCTGAAGGGGAAAGAGACAGGGACCCTGGAGAAAGTTCTCTTGTACATTCAGTCACATGGGGCGGGACACGCAATGCCCCACACCCACACCCACTTACCACGTAGGTACCAGGTGATGAGGAGGAGTATGGAATCTAAAAACAAGAGGTGGGGGAGCCACGCGTCAGAGTCACTTGCTCTGATACTCAGAGTGCCCTTGGGCTCCCCAATCCACTTGGGGACACTCCCCCTCTGGCTGGGAAAGGCGGTGGGCTCCCTGGTTCGTGTCCCTGGGAGGGCTGGGGGTGTGAACAAAGCCCAGTTCCCACACTGAACTGATCCTGAGAGCCTTGGCAGGGAGCTTGGGAGGGGCGTGGACATGGGAGAGCCTCCAGCTCAAAGAGGACGGGAAAGCGGGAGCTTCTCCCCAGCCCTCTGGCCTTCTGAGTGGAGCCCTTTCCCAGCTCCGTGCCCTGAGTGCGGGAAGCCAGCCCTGCCAGGGAAGAGAGGATCGCCAGAGGTTGCTAGGTGCACAGTGCTCTCTAAGCGAGCCCTCAGCTCACCCGTCAGGGTTTCTGCAGGGCTAGGCCTGAACCCCGAAGGCCCCAGCACAGTACTCCCACGCCTCCACTTACAGCAGGGCTCCTCCCTGCAGACACTGGGGGGTGCGGGGAGGGGGAGGAGTCTTGCTGCATCCCTGCTTCTGATGACACCTCCAACCTGGGGACAGGACTACCCTGTATCTCAGAAACCCCTCCCCACACCATCCCATCCAACCTGGGTACTCACTGAGTTAGCACTGTTAGGATTTGGCCAGGGTCTGCCAGCTCCCGGACCCCTGAGAGGGGGAGAGAGAGAGGACGACCATGAACAAGGTCTTATCAACCCCACGGGGAGTGCCAGCAGGGCCAGAACGAGAGGGCTGACATCACTAACAGGAAGTCCCTCACACAGGCCTAGGGCCTCACACACCATCTGGCTCTCGGGGAGCAACGGGCAGCTCCATGCGCGGAAATCTACAAGCTCCTATAAATTATACGGAATATGTGTAACGTACGTTAAGATTTCCCGTGTGTGTGCATTTTCCCAGGAAGGGAACGCACAGGTTCTCACGGGGATCTACGCCCGCAAGGGGGATTAGGGATGAGAGCACTAGAGCAGCTGGTGGTCAGCTGTACAGGGGTTCAAATCTCAACCCTATCGTTAGAGCCATGTGAGCACAAGCAAGTTACTTCACCTCTCTGGGCCTCAGTTCCCCCATCTGTAAGTGGGGAATGGTGAGACCCACCTCCCGGGGCTGTTCGGAGGAGCGGCTGGGCCGATGCACGCAACAGGCCCAGAGACGCACCGTGCGGCGCATCACAGTGCGGCTGCCACACCTGCCCCACGCCACTGCTGGAAGGGCAGAGGGCCGGAGAGGTGCCCGGGACGCCTCTGTCCGCCAGGGTCTCGGGGGGCTGGCAGAGGGGGGGCGAGCCGCAGGCTCTGAGCCAACAGCGAGGTCAGTTGTGCCTTACATGTTAATCCCGGGCATGGCGGGGCCGAGGGAGTTGGGTGGTGGTCTCATGCCGCTGCCATAATTCTGCAACGATAACCAAGGGTCAGTCTATGAGAAGGAGAAGGGGAACCGGAGAGAGGCGGAGGGAGGGAAGACAAACAGAATATAAGCAAGAGGATTAGTCTGCGGAAAGGATCTGATGAGGAAAAAAAATAACATATTCGTTAAAAAAGGTGAGGGGGTGGGAACCACGTGACGGGACCACAATGACAAGCCAGCACAGAGGGAGGCTTCGGGATGGTTCTCTCAAAAGCATGGGAGTGTTTGGCAAGCCCTCACATCTCGGGTCTTGGGCGGGGCACGGGAACGGGCTTGTAACAGAGCCGACTGGTGAACACGGCCCACCTCAGAAACTCCGGGGCTGGGGGTGAGGGCTGGGTCTGAATGTGGGAGGGGAAGGAACCCTGAGAGGCCTGGCCGCTGGCTGTCCCCACGGTCCAGCATGTACAGACACTGCCCCCCGCTTGCCCCATACCTGGGTTGTCCCCCAACCCCTGGATCAGGTTGCCTGATTCAGGGGTCAGCCTGTGGGGCCGGCCCTCGACATACACGGTGCTGGAGAAGCAGGAAGAAAACTCCTGGGGTGCGGGGGGTCAAAAGAGTGCCAGAATCGGAACCTCTTGTCACTGCTACCCCTGATTCCCCACTTCCAATGCTATTTTCTTCTCAGAAGAAATGCTTTGCTTCCCCCTCTCCACTTGGGCTCCTACACATCCTCCAAACCCAGCTTGAAGAGCACCTCCTCTGGGAAGCCTTCCCTGCGTACCTCTTGGGGTTAACTGCTCACCCTCGTCATGCCCTGTAATGCCCTGACCCCTGCCACGCTGGGCTATGGCCGTGGCCACACGTCTCTCCCACTGGGCTCTGAGGACCTGGTGAAGGTGGGGACTGTATCGGAAAGATCTGCATGCATGCGTCACCCCACACGGCAGCCATCACAGACTGGGTGCTGAATCAATGAAGGAGTGATTAAGTAAATGAACAGAGAGTAAAACGAGCCTGGTTGTAGCTTAAGCTCTGCCTTTGTAGAAACTGACCGAAGTACGGGTGGTGGGAAATTGACGGCAGAGGAAGCACCTAACACGCCTTAGAACAATGCCATGAAGCTAGTATCACTCCCATTTTAGAGAAGAGAAGACTGAGGATCTGAGGGGAGAAAGATCTGCCCGGAGTTGGTAAGCCAGTGACTCAGCTGGGGTTAAAACCCGGCTCTACAAGCCTCTGGCTCTGCACTGTCCCCACCACACATCTGGTGAAAGGCCCCGAGCGGACCAGCTCAGAGCCAACATCATGCTGGGGGTGGGTTCTTCAGCCAAGGCCCGGGTCCTGAGCCTGAAAGCCGCGGGACCACGTCCTCTGCCTGGTCACCCTGACAGCGGCTTGGAGTCTACAAGGACACACAGACAGCATGTAGACAGCAACAGGAACAGCACCGGGCCGACTGGCAGAGAGCAAGGCTTGGAGTCGCGGAGGCAGAGTGGGGTGGCCCCACAGGGGTCCCGCGTCAGCCCCGGGACGTGCAGGAGCCAGGTGCTCTCTGTTCACAGTGGCTCGGGCCGGCAGGCAGAGCCGCGGACGGGAGGTCGGAGCACAGGACAGCTAGCCCCGGCTTGGGCACATGGCTGTGACAACGGCCCCATCGCGGTCCCTGCCTGAAAGATGAAAACGCTGAGTGGCAGAAGCAGCGTGAAAGCCCCTGGCGCAGCCGCCATGGGGACAGAGAGCCCCCAGCCCTACAGCCCCGGGAGGCTCAAACGCAACGACAGCTTTCAAGTGCTCTGTCAGCTCTCGGAGGTGTGTTCTGATCCGGGATGTTAGCAGCAGAACGAACACCAAAGCCCTTAATGCTGCCTTAAGCATCACAGAACCCTGGGTCTTAAAGGGCCCCTCCGAAGCCCCACGTGCAGCTCTGCGATCCCTCCACAAAGCTCAGCCTCACTTCCGCCGCCGCAGGACAGGGAGCCTGCAGGGGCCACGGTGTAGACAGAGCCCCTGCAGTGGCCCTGCTCCCTCTCCCGCCCACTGCAGGCCCGCCTTCGGAGCCCGGTGGAGCCCGGGACACGGCAGTGCAGGCGGGGCGACAGGAGAGAACAAGCCAGGTGCTCACTCCAGGAGTAGGCCCGCTCGTGCAGTGCGCCACGCCGCCAGGGGAGGCTCTGGGGTGCCAGTTCCTACCTCGATCTCACCTTCCAGAGCCTCCCAAATAGCCAGCATAGCCGTTTCCCGCGAGGGAGGCCGCCCACCCCGTCCTCCCTGCCAGAGGCACAGGCCCTGCAGGGCCACGTATGCCTCCCCAATTGGAGGGGCCACAGATTTGCCCAAGGGCACGCGCTGAGTCAGGGGTGAAAGCAGGGCCGAAGGGCAACTTTGGGGGGAAGTTCTCAAAGCAGAAACAGCAGCCTTCTCATAGAGGGCTTGGAGGCATGGTTTCATAGACTCCTCAGAAGCAGCTCTCTTCCCTCCACGTCCGCCCGCCCACAGCACCGGACTGCGAGGTGACCAGCAGCCCGACGCCCCCCCTTCCTGTGCCATCAGCACAGCTCTGCATGGACAGGGGCAGCTAGACGCAAGGGAGGGACCCTCGGCGCACTGTGGGGCTGGCCACATCCACGACGGTGGTCCCTCACCCTCGTCCCCTCACACCCCGGACCCTGGGCAGAGGGCTCTGGTCCGCTCTCAGGAACAACGAATGGCTGGGGCCTGCTCCGACTCCCCGAGCTCCCAGTCTTTCTGGGTGCTGCCCACGGCCCACCCAGCACTATCTTCACCTTAAAGCAGGGAAAGAACATTCCAGCCTTTAGGATACACCGTCCAGGCAGTTTCCTGGGCAGCAGGGTCCTGTCCTCCACCCCCTCTCATCATGTGGGGCCTGGGGGCCTCTATGGGCCCCCACCAGGAAGGTGCTTTGAGTGGCCCCACTTTCTCCCCACCCAGCCCCCAGCCACTCTGGCCGGGTTTACGATCCTTCCATCTCTTGCTGGGGCCATTGCTCAGAAGCCTCAGAACGAAGAAAGAGCTGGGCTGTCCTGGACCAGCAGGAAGATGCAGTTTCTTCCAGGTGGCACAGGACTGTCCATAGAGATCAGGGGTTATCCTTCACTTTCTCAAACACACACGAGCTAGGATGGCGATCTGATGCTAGCCTGTGTGGATTCCATCCCCAGCCTGAACACCAGAAACGCTAGTCATTGGCACCCAGGGGGTCTATGAGCCACAGCATCCCTGAGGGGGCCCTGCGTTCTGTCCACGGGAGCCTGGCCAGAAGCCCTTGCAGTTCTAGGCTCATTCCAACGGGAGTCACTTCTGAAAAACTTAGCCAAAACATTCCCATCGGATACTGACATTAATTCTTTAAAGAAAGACCATAATTAAGTGGATGTATTACCTCCTTTTTGGCTCTGGCCGTTTCACCAAACCAGAGTAAAATCTGTCTGAGACACTCCGGGAAAAGCGCAGGGCGATGCCTGGCCTGCTGGGTCCTCTGTGACATTTAGGCTAAATCGCAGCACAGGCTCAGAAAGTGCAAATGTCACTCCATCTGGCTTTGAAATCTATAAAGTAGCCCCAAGACTACAGTGTACCTCTTCTTCAGAAAGTTCTGGAGTGGTCACTGGCCATTAAAAATCTTACTCCCCAGTTGGAGTAACAGGCTGATGGTTTCCCACCTTTGTGACTGGTCTCAGCATGGCGCTGTGTATACAGTGGTGCTTATAAAGGCTGCCCGAGGAGGCCGGCCTCCTTTTCTAAGAGCCCAGGCTGTGGCAGACAGGACTCCCCCCACCCCGCCGCCCCCCTGAGCCCGTGTTCTAGGGAGGGAGTGGGGTCCGTGGAACACCCTGCAGGCACCTCATGCTGTTTCTACCAGACCTACAGTGGACCCTGTGAGGTGATCACCCGGCTGCCCATTTTGCAGATGAGGGACCAGAGGCCCAACTGGGCTGAGCTGCGGCTGGAACCCTGTTTTCCAGCACTAAGTTCTGAGTTCATCCCTCTCCTGTCCATTGCGAATGACCAAGAGCGCACCCTCAGGGGACAGCCAGAAAGGTCTGGGGGCAGGAGATGGGATGGTCCTGCCCTCAGCCTTCGGGTCCAAAACTTCTAGGCTCTGCAGTACCTGCTCCCTGGCTGACCCCAAAACCTGTCCCACACCAGGCCAGGCCCTTCTGTCCCCAGTGAAGGGCTGGGGCAGACATTCTGGGTTGCTCTAAGGGAGGTTTGGCCCTGGAATTTAAGACTGCACTCTACCCAGGCAGGTACAGGAGACATGGGCAAAGCACTTTAGGGTCTCCCTATTGATACAGTGAAGTCAAATAAAGAACAAGGGAGACGTTTCCAGAGCCCCTGAGGTTGGTGGAGGTGGGGTGCATCAACTGGCCTCATGCCTGGGCTAGTTTCTCACTCCCCTCTGGGTCACCCCTCTCAGGGTCTACATGAGAGCTCTTGCACACCACCTGGCAAGGTCAGGAGAGCCACACTGGACCCAAGAGGCCTTGTTTGGTAAGACTTCAGCCTTTAGGAGCCTCCCCTCTTTAAAGCATGCCACAAGAGTGTGCCAGACTGCTGGTCAGGGACTCTGCTAAAGTCAGGAGGAAGTCCTAAACTTAACAGAATACTCTGCTCTGGGTCTGTCTGCTGACATCCATTCCCAGCTTCCAGAACCTCAGGATTACTATAGGCTTAACAAACAAAAAGAAGGCTAATGGCCTTGGCCAGAAAAAAAAAAAAAAAAAAAAAACAGAAACAAAAACACACACTACTCAAAGCAATCATCAAACCCAGGCAATGAGAGTCCTGAACACCGATTTTCAGCCCCTAAGTCGGAAGGCACACATTGCTTACTGGGAGTACCCCATGCCAAGCGTCACACCCAGAACTTGAGCCTCCCCCTTTGAGCACTCCTATACGGCAGATGCTGGTCTCTCGCCCATTTTACAGATGTAGCTGCTAAGCCTCCAAGAACCCAGAGGGGTGGGCGGGGGGCCTTCCCACTAGATCCTCTTGTGTCCCCAGGTCCCCCAGGATGTTGTGGAAGTCCAGGGTCACTGCTCATCCACCCCAAGAGCATCTCTGAAGTGGGGCTGAGGGACCCACAGGTTCCTAACCCAGGAGAGGCAACGCTCTGCTTCAGACCCGGTGGCCCCTCCTGCAAGTTCCTCAGCGGAGCCACCCGGCAGAGGTCAGCTCAAGACAGGCACATGGCAGGAAGGGGCCACTCTGGTGGCTTAAAAGGAACTGGTGAAAACACAAGCTTTGGGGGATTTGAGGAAAGAAAACAAAGAAACAATCAAGAAAACCAGAGCTGCAACTGGTGTGGGCTTGCTTCATTACAGGATTAGGGGGCCAAGAGAAGACAAGGACCTCCCTAAAATCTTTCAGCACCACAGATGTTGCAGCCACCACCGAGGAGAAGCAGTGGGCTGGGTGTGCTGGAAATACAACTGCAGACGGCGCGGAGGACTCTGGGTGTGGGCAGACACCTCTCCCTACCAGAGCGGGCACGTGTCTGCGAGCTTGGGAGCAAGAGCACCCCTCCTCCCCCAGGGAACCGGAAGCCTGGGGAGGGGGGCCCAGAGAATGCAAACATCTGCACCCTGAATGGGGGGGACGGACCCCGACAACAAGCAGACTTCCAGGCAGGGCAGAAAAGGGAAGGAACACCCTACAGCAAAAGCCTCCCGATCTCGCTAAATGAAACTCCCTTCTCCTCATTTAGACTTCCAGCTTCTTTTAGATAGTCAGATCAGCAAACTCTCTGCCACAGTACTACAGGAAACAGAGCCACATTCCAATACTCAGGAGAGTGGGAAGCAACCGTGAGAAGGCTCGAGAACAGGAAAGGCCTGTCAAACCCCTGCCTGATGGTCCCGTGGGAGCCTGTCCCTGTGGGGCCTGGAGCTGGGGCACAAGGAGTGACGGGTGTGCTGTAACTGCAGAGCTAGACAGGGCACCTGACGTCATGTCTCCCAGGGATTTCTGAGGGGTCCTTTGTGACAATGGAACCTCTCTGGTCAGAAGAAATCTTAGCTTGGAGCCTGGGACCTGAAACGGGTAGAGGCTCTGGGTGGAAGGGGGTCTTAGAGGCCCTGGCCAGCCTGCTCTCCTCTCACTGGGGTGGCGTCGCTGAGAACCAGGGGTACAGACACATTCCTCCTCCCCTCACATGAAACAGGGGGACCGGAGGCCTACTGGGGCCCCCTGAGGTCAAATGATTCACCCAAGGACAGACTATCGGTGAGTTAGTTGTAGGCGGAGCTAGGACTGCCCCTCATTCGTCCCGCCTTTGGGTCGCAACAAACTAGGACCCTGAGCCGGTTCGAATTCGCCTACCTGGGGTAGGAGGCTTTGGGATTCCTGGAGAACCCACACCACTGCTCAGGCACCAGACCCTCCATCTTCCAAATTCCTCAAATCCCTCCCGCGGAGGATCTGCCAACACCTGACTGCCCTGCTCCCTCAGCTTCCCAGAGGGCCCCTCAACCTGGCCTGCCGCCTACCGAGAGGGGCTGCTCCTGGCTGTGTGGGGGGCCAGCCCAGCCACGGGCAGAGGGGGCAGCTGGGGACTCGGCCGTGTCCTCTCCCCTCACCCCTGTGAGCTGAGTGACGTGAACGACGGACAGACTGTGGAAGGAGGAGAGTAGGCGGGTGCACACAGATGGCCAGGGAGCTGCACAGACAGACAGGGGGTTACCTGTGGGCCGGGCCCCATGGGCCCCATGCCTCGGGGAGGGTTCATTCTCTGCATTGATCCTCCCATGTTGGGGTGCCCTGCACGAGAGAGTAGGGGAGCTGTGAGGCGGCGGGGGGGCAGACAGCACAGACTCCCCATGCCGCAGGCGGCCCCGGCCAGCCCTCTACCTTGTTGTCGGGTGGGATCCATGGAATTGGGCAGCAGTGGCTGGGTCCCAGGAACTCCTCCCGGAGGCTGAAAGAGACGTGAAAGCTGCACTGAGTGGCTGGGGGATGGAGGGAGACGCGCCCGCCTGCCCCGGCCGCCACCACCCTTCTGGGGCCACGCATGGCCTCCCTGACCTGCCGGCTGGGGCTGGGGGCGACATCCCCAGGAGCGGCAGACAGAGGGAGCCGGTGTCAGCAGGAGGTGCAGCATGGGCGGGACAGGAACCGTCACACACCCTATTGTCTCCACGGGGCTGTGCACCGGGCCCGCCACCTGCCATACACCCCTCCACGGCAGCCTGCCCCCCGCGCTCACCTCCCGGACCCTGGCCAGCGCGGTTTAAGCCACACCCTGTCTTTCCTTCACCCCATGGAGATGTAACTCATCCTATCCCCTCCCCTAAAGTGTGGGGACCGGGAGATTCCCCCCCAGCCAAAAATCCTATCACTACACGGGGGTCTTTTTACAGGGGCGCAGGGGAGGAGGTGGCCTTCGAGGTTTGGATGGGGAAACTGAGGCCCAAAGGCCCAATGGCCCCCCAGTCACCTAGTGGCAGAGCCAGGATGAGCACTCAGGGCCCCCAACTCCCTATCTTTGTCCTCCACATGACATGAAATGCCCCCTTCTGGCCCCAGCGGTGAAGAGGAGGCCTTCCAGAGAGGGGGGAGCAGAAGGCTGAGTGAGAACCTGCTCCCCAAAGCCTGGGGCAAGGGGCAGACACTGGTGTGATTACTATTAAGAAGGTGAGGACAGGGTTGCCACAGGTTTCCCGAGTGAATGCTTGGCACACTTGCTGTGAAAACCTACTAAAAGTGAGTTACTTGGGGCTGAAGTGACTTCAGTAGCAATCGGGGAGAAAAAAAAAAAAAGGCAGAAGAGCTGGAAGGAAAAGTGTGCTTTTAGAACCCTGTGCCTCAGGACTAAAACAGGCCCCTGCCTTTGAGAGGGAAAGTGTCTATGAAAGGGACCACCTTTTCCCATCTGCAGACGCCAGTGCTTCTCAGAGGCCGGGCCCCTGGGACAGGGGCAGCCACCCCCTCCAGCCCCAGCCAGCCCTCACCGCAGCTGGGGGGATGGCCCAGCGGGGAGCTCCAAACCAGCTGTGGAACAAGGTGGTGGTAAGCAGAGACTAGTTCTCACTGCTGTCCCGAGCTTCAGAGTGGGCTGTGTGTGTCCAGCGCGTGGCGGTACTTGTGGTAGGCCACACAAACCTGGGAGGACCTGCTGTTTCCAGGCCCTGGGGGTGCTCACAGTCTGTCTCTCTAGCCCGTGGTCTTAGCTCTTCTGACCTCTCGCTTTCTCCCAGCCCTGCTTCCTCTCTCCAGGCTCCCCAGCTCCGAATCATTTGACTGGTTTCTGTCTGCCCACTTGGGGGTGTGGGATATTTCTAGACCCCAGAGAACAAAAGCAGGCCTTCCTCTGAGGCTGTCTGGTTTGGGAGATCCCAGGATGTCGAGGTGGACAGGGGACCGTCCATGTCATAGAATGCCCCCACCTATAACCCTGATGGAGCGGCCGTGGGGGTAGGGCAATCACTCCCTCGCCAGGTAGCCCAGTGAGGACAGCGACAGTTCTCGAAGGAAGCTCCTCCTTGAGCTCCCCTCACCCTGCTGTGTCAGGACCCAGGAGCAGAGCAGGGCTGCCTGGAAGCTCAGAGGGAATCTGGGCATCACTGGGGTGACCCTGAGCTGGGGACAGGTCGACCTTGGCCCCCTCTACGAGAGAAGGCAGACGGGCCGTGGCCGAGGTAACAGGTCTCACACAGACAAGGCCGAAGCCTTCAAACCTAAGAAAGCAGCACAAGAACGGCTCGTATGTGGCACTGTAAGCACATGCTGTGTGCACTCTCGGAGCCTGCTAGGGAAAGTGATGCTCTGGGGCCGTCCCACGGGCTCCTGGAAGCAGGCCAGCGCCTCTCCTACAGCACCGTGGGGCAGGCGCAGGAAGCGTCTGCCCAGGGAACAGCCCAATCCCAGCAGCGTCTGCACGGTCACTCGGCCGCCTGCCCCCGTCAGCCACCGGGCCGGCGCGGGGTCCTCTGGGACGTGTACGGGAGGGCTGCCTGACAAACCTGGGTCCCAGTCTTCCTCTCAGCCCCACTGAAGCCCACTGTTCACCACCCACCCACCTACTCTCGCTTGAAAAACAGCAACGCTTTCTCTATATATGGCCCCAAACCTGTCACCGGGGAGGCAGGTGGGAGGATGGCCTTGTAAGGCTCAGGGGACAGGTGGACAGTCCTTAGCTTCTTGTCCCCCCCGCCCCCCGCCAAATGCCCTTCTCACTGCCCTAACACAGGAGGTCCCATGAACCCAAGCAAGGCCTGCTGCCTCTGCCCCTCCCCCTGCCAAGGCGGGGGCGGGGGGGGGAGCTCAGCTCACTGAGGTGGCAGAGGCTTCTGCTCAACCCGCAGCCCCAACTGAGGCACTCTCCGCGAACCCCCCAGGTGCAACACCCCTGAGAGGGGCACGTCCCTCCCTGGAGGGCAAACATTTCTTGAGTCCACAGGAAACCGGAAATTGGTATAGATTTCCAACGGGGCGGGGGGGGGGAAGGTTACGAATTTGTAACACGAGATGCAGATGTCGGATTCATTGTCCATTTGCTGTCTTGGGCACTTGCTCATGCTTAATTGATAAATAGGAACATACAGGTTTCCTCTCGCGTCCCTTAATTACTAGAGGAAAGCCACAATGATGGTAAGGGTGCCTCGCCATGGAGCAGAGGCCCATTCGGGCCAAGGAGAGCCCTGGGGTGCGCTGTGGGGGAAGGCGCTGCCGGGGCCCACGCTCGTGATGGCAGAAGAGGCCCCTGTGCTGACTGGGGCAGCACGGTTACAACTCTGAAAGCTCACTGAATTGGGTGAGGGGCGGAGGAAACAGCACTGGGCCGGGAGCTGTAGACCAACTTGATCCGGCTTACTGCAGGACTCTGGGAAGTCACTCCTTCACTCTGACCTTCTGTTTCCTCGTCTGTGACATACCCAAGGGTCCCTCCTTGTTCAAAAAGATGGGTCTCTAATTCTTGTCTAAATCTCTCCTTCATGTCAGAGAAAGAGGAAAAAAAGACTTTTGGAGGGGAAAAAAAATAACTGGAAACCTGATAGGCAATTTAAACTAAAATTTCGAGACCCCTGACTATGAGCGTCTCTCCTAGGCCCTGCAGCTCTGCACTTGGGAGGCCTTCCTTGCAGAGCCCTGAGAACAGAAACAATCAGGCCCCTCTAGTTGGTAACTGAACTCCCAAGTTCCAAAGGCAGTAGGGGCTGGACGTACTCGTGATGCGGTCACATCTTCTGAAGGGTTTTTGTAAGGTCACTCTAAGAATCATACATAAGAAATATTTTGGCATGAAAAGAAATCTCCCTAATGTTTCTTTTTAAGTTTTAAATTCATCGATCCTCAAAAGATATTTTATCTTGACCTCTCCTGGACGGGCTGAACTAGGGAGGGTGGCATGGGGGCCGATTTCTCCAGACCACCTAAGAATTGCCAACCCTAATGGGCCAGCATAAGGCACACAACCCCGGGCTGAGAAGCCCTCCCCATCAGCAGACCACTTTTCTAATTACACGAACAAATCCTTTCTTGTTTTGAGTTGGGTCTGGGAAAACAGGCAGACATTGCTTAAAAACTCACAAATGTCCTGCTCTGCTGCATCCAGGCTCCTGATCTAAGCATTCCTACGGGCCATTTCTCCCCTTAATAGCAGGATTATATTTACCAGCCTTGGCAATTCTCAAAAGCTTCCAGGAAAAAATGCACGTTGTCAATTAACTTCATTAAGGAGGAAGACCCTTTTCCAAGAAGGGGCTGGAAGGGAGGGGGCAGGGGCATTACCACCTTCTCTAGAATAGTCGCAACCCTGCATTCCCAGCCTGGCTGTTTCTGCTGCTGCCCCTCTGAGCTCGAACCCGCTGCCCAAAGCCCACCAGGAGAGGCAGATGCAATGCTGGCAAAGGGGCTATACTGGGGACACAGAACGGACAAAGGGCTCTCCCTGGGGACCCGCCTGTAAGCTACCTCCTCCCACATTCAAACCTGTCCCTTCACCTCCAAATCCTTTCCCCAAATTCTCATTTGAGTCAAAGAGGGGGGCAAGGGTGGCTGGGTGAGGGGAAAGAGAACATGAAAAGGTACAGTACCTGGTTTCCCATTCTGATCGGGGGCCTGGGGCCGCCTGCGTAGCGCGGTGACATAAAAGGCTGCAATTATAGGGAATTAGTTCAATGACAGCCTGCGCTACTGCACAGGGACAAACACGAATGCGCTCCACGCCACCAAGTCCAGATTCGTTACAACTAGTTATCTTTCCAACTCTCTTTCTCCCGGTAGCCTCTTCCCTCTGGGCACAACTTCCTCTGGGCAGAGGGAACGACAGATGCGCCTGGCACGGGCGGCTCCTGACTCCGTGTGTGCCCACGGACATCTAGTCTGGATGGCAGGAGAGTGCGGCCAGGCCTGGGCACGGGGCGCGGAAGAGCAGTTACAGCGGTGCGGGGCAAAGGAAGAAGACTCTGCTCTCGGGAAGGGCAAATCAAGAATCAGAAAGGGACTCCTACACAAAATGTTCAGGGTGTGCGGACAAAGCTGGACGCACACACACACAGAAACCACCGACAAAGGGGGTGGGGAAGGGGAGCGAGGATTTGGTGGGGGGAGCACAATGAGAATGGAAAGGGGCTAAGACGAGGGGCAGGAAAGCTCATCTCAGCAGCGAGAGTGCGCACAGAAAAAGGCTAGGGATGCAGCTTCGCTTACGAACAAATGGTTAACCGAACTCAAAAACCAAACCAAAAGTGAGAGAGGAAAAAACAAAAACGCAAAGGCCGCTGACAAGGTCACAGAAATATCTTTGCTTTTCTTTTGGTTTCATATCCAAGCTGGGTGTGATGTCCAAGGAATGAAGACTATCTTGGGGGGGGGGGGTGTATTTTTGTTTTTGTTTTTTTTTAAATATCATTTGTCCATAAAGACTCAAAAGCAATGGCTAGAGCACATTTTGATTTTTGTTTTTCCTCTGCTGGCTCTGTCCTCCTCGTGCCCCGCGCCCCCCGGCGGGCGGGCGAGCCACAGTGCTTTTACCTGACTGTGGGGTCCCATCATGCTGCTGGGATTGTGAGGTGGAGGCTGTGCGTGCGGCGAGGGCTGTGACCCCGGAGGACCCTGTGAGGCCAGACAGTAGAGGCAGGTTATAGATCACAGCACATGGAGAAGCGCAGAAGCTTAAAAGAACAAAAATTAAACCAAAACGAAGGGCAGGTGGCGGGCGTGCGGGCGGCGGGCTCTGGTTGGCGGGGAGGTGCGCACAGCTGCTTGGATCGCAGGCTCAACGGTGGGCGCGGAGAGCGGGAGGGAGAGAAGCCGATGAGCACACTCACGGGGCGGTTTACAGGGATGGAAAATAATACCCAGCTCCTCCGTGGAAGCACGCAGGAGCAGGGGCCCGGGCACCGTCTATGGCTGGAGCGGAGTTTGCCATGTTAAATACGCTGGTTGTGACGGGCAAGTGCACCTGCTCTGCGAAGCGTGCAAGGGCCGCTTCTGGGCGTGGGAAGAGCCCGGCAAGGCCCTGGTTTGGGGGAGCTTCCGGTCTGGAGGCGGACAGAGACAGGATGCGGGTTCCTGGGCCAGTCTACTGAGGGGAGGGAGGCCTGATGGGTGCACCAGAAGAGACAGGAGGAGTCAGGCTGGGCCAGAGACTGAAGGAACAAGGGAACAAAAGGATGGACGGTGACCAAGCACCCACTCAGTGAGCTCTGTTAATTTCACCTTCACTTGAAAAGGCCCTCATCAAGTGGGGTTTCCCATTCTTTTTACCAACGAGGAAAACTGGGTCTCAAGGGATGAGGGAACTTGGCCACAGCCACACAACTGATAGATGGCAGAGCCAGGATGGGACGCCTGATGGACCCAACGCTCACCTGGACTCCTGCAGCCCAGAGCTCAAGCAGGCATGTGCAGAGGGGCAGGGGGACGCGGCTGGAGGCCCCTTACTGCTGGGTGGAAGGGCTGGGCTTTCCACTCCAGCCAGCGGTGAGCCACCACCCATGGTTCCGAGCTGACCCCTGAAGCCCTGGGCTATGCTGACCTTGACTCCCCCCAGAAGAGATGGGCAGGTGAATTCACTTAAACCACAGGGTTGGTCAAACTGTGGGATGCAACCCATTAGTGGATGGTGAAATCAATTTAGTGGGTTGCAACCATTGTTTCCCAAAAACCTGGAACGGAATAAAAAAACAAACTATCCAACAGCTCTGTGTGTATGAAGGCAAATCTTTTTCACTAACATATCTTCATATTTATACATACGTGCATGTGTGTATACTGGTTCAGTGTCAAGTGTATTTCCTACTGCAGGTCAATCAAAAAGCACAAAAGGCCCATCTTGGAAGCTCCTTCCTGCCTACTTGGGACGTTCGGAGCTGGACTTTGGGGCTGGTGACAAGGAGCCTGCCCTAATTCACTCTTCTCAACCCTCGATCATGCTATTACTCTTGGAAGTCACTTTTGAGAAAAATCCAAAACCTGCGCGGGGGATGGGGGAAATTACATTAAAGAGGAGAGGGAGAGAGAATCTTTGAGACAGAGGTAGGATTTTCTTCGTCAGCCTTCTCTCTCAGAACCAGGCTGCCCAGCCTCCCCACCTGCTCAGAAAACACAGTCCGGAGGCGGGGCGGGGCGAAGGGGCTGGTAACAGGCTGTGGGCCTAGAGACATGGAGAAGAGGTGTGCAGGGAAAGACGGCGGGGGCCGTCCAGGAAGCCAGGGGCGCCACTGAGGACAGGCTGGAGTTTCTTGGCCAAGCGAGGGGCTGCTCACTTCCGGAGAGCTCTGCAGAGCAGATGTTCCCCTACCTGCCACGCTACTAATTTCAACAAGTGTGTGTCTTTCTAGCGGCTGCCAGCAACGGCATGGTTTGTTACCATGAGCAATTTTCTTAATTAACAGACATTAATTAGCCATTTAGCAATTTTGCAAGCATTTGTTTAGCGGCTTTCCTAAACATGAATACCACTGTGATAATGGCGCTGATTAGAGGGTCCCCTAATTAACAGTACAGGGAAGGAAAATTGAAATCACATAAATTAAAAAGGGAGGGGAAACTAATGAAGGCGGGACATATTTGCACCTGCAAGTCTTTTGTACCATGAAACTTGGGTGCAATGTAAACAAAATAAGATAATTCAAAGCCAACCCCCAAAAAAAGAAAAATAAAAAGAACGGAAGAAGAGGGTTTGAGGGTGAGGTCCAGTTGCCAAGAGGGGGCAAAAGGCCTTCTGTTGGTTCTCAGCTCTTGGCAAGAAGGGAGCGCCTCCTCCCTCCAACCCTCGTGGCCCTCCCTGGTAAGATCTGGTGCTTCCTCAGAGAGAGTGGCGTGTCTCCAGGCAGGTCCCCCACACCTGCGGCCCCATGAGCCAGGGGAGGCAAGTAGCGGCTGACTTGACAGCTGACTGTAGAAAATGTATGGAAAGCACCCCAGAGTGTCTGGCCCCCACAGGGGGTCCCAATCAGTGGCAATCCCTACTAAGGGCCAATGCTCGAAACCGGGTCTGGAGGGCCATTCCAAGCCGTCTCTTGGCCCTGGATTATGGCTGCTTAGGCCCCCCGACATTCAGAGGGCAGGCTGGTACGTGTGCCTCACCTCTCTACCTCCCTCAGAAGCTCCCTGCTGGACTCTAGTAACTGGTCCCTGAATGAGTGGATGTGGTACAAGTTCGCCTCGAAGCAGCCACCTCAACACAAACAGCCAATGAGTATTAAGGGCCGGGAGCAGGTGGCTGGTGAGTGAGGCCCCAGGCCAGCCCAGCAACTTCTCTGGCCAGTAGGAAGAGGCGGGCAGTGGGCTGTTAAGTCTTCTCAGAAGTCTCCTCCCCATGACTTGGAGCTGGGGTTTAGAACACTGAAGACAAGAGAACCCTGGCCCAGGCTAGCCAATTACCCAGAGAGAAAACCCCACCATGACCTCAAGACAGGCACAGATGAATCTCAACACTCATGTACCCAGGGCACGGAGCTCCTCTCCCACCCCCGGGGGTAGGTGTTGACCAGGCTCTGCTCATGTACTTCCCAGCATGGCCCCCAGCACTACTGGGAGCTCTATGAGCCAGAAAGCTTCTCCTCCATGAAGTCAGAAGCCTATCAATTCCTGATGGTCACCCACATCCAGCCAAAGCGCCATCCTCTGTGTCTGCTACATCCACTCAGCCTGGAGCCGTCTGCCACTCGATCAGCGTCTGGACTCAGTCCCCGAGATGGTGTGCAACAGCACAGGGAGGGGCCCTGCACACTTGGTGCATTCTCAGGAGCCTCAGAGAATAGGGCACCGCATTGAAAATGTTTGCTTCTGTTAAAACGACGACGAAGACGACAGACCTGTTTCCACCTCCACAAGGAGGGACAGAATGTGCTGCCCTGTGGTTTAGCGCACCAGCAAGAGGAGTTTCTCCCCTATCCTGCCTTCTCAACAAGAGACCAACAGGTAGGTATAGAGAAAACAGACTTTATGGTCTTTTCAACTCATTACCCACTTGGGTCAAAATGCTACATAGAAGGCAGACCAAAAAAGATCTTGTTTGAGGATTCTGACCTTCATTGGGATATTGGGCTTTTCTCTTCCCCAAACTCTGAACAGATCTGGCAGGCAGGGGGAGAGGATCAAGGCAGAAGATGGGAAAAGGAGGGAGTCATAACGCTGATGGTACTGATGAGTTTTCCCACACAGGACAGCTCCCCTATAGGGCCTGCCTGGCATCTACTTGCTGAAAGCTTTACAAGAACCCAAATTAGGTGTGTCTGGAAGCCTGTTTGGCCAAAAAGAGGCCGAGTCCAGCTCTACTTAGACCTTGGAGGCTTTCCGTCTCAGGAACTGCCTAATCCCCCCTCCCAGCACGCTGCAGAGACATCTGCAGACATCTGAGGTGCAGAGTCCTGGGCTAGACTGGAGTTGAGGGTCCCACTGGAAGCTTGGGGAGAGCTACACCTGCCCACACACTTGTTTGTTGGGTGGCCCTGATAGATCATCACTTCTTCCAGTATCCTTCATTTACAGGGGAGAAAAGAGAGGCCCAGGAGAGAGGGGTGACCTGTCCGAGACCACAGAGAACTCAACTCATTGGTGGCTGAGCCACATCTCCTAACACCAGCCCAGGGGTCTCTTCATGATAATCACCTTCCTGCCCATTTACGTAAAGAAACAAGGTCTGGGTTCAAATCCGGACTCAGCCACTGACTGCACCTCCCTCGTCAGAGAAATGTGATAATGGGATAATAATGAAGCCACACCTCACCTGCATTAGCTCATGTAACCCTGGACTCCTGGCTGGAAAGGCTCCATTTTACACCTCAAAAGGGTAAAGCCATTTGCAAAGCTATTAAGCAGTGGAACCAGCCTCGAAGTCCGATTCTAGAGCTCCAGCTGGCCCACTGCTCTAACAAGCCCACAAGTAATGCCTCTGTGTCACACCTGGAGCACGAGGAGCAGAAAGGAACAAATCCTAAGGCTGAAGGATGTAGGGGGGGCAACTAGTCACTCACCCACAAACACATTCCGGATGCTGACCTCGGGGGTCTAGCCAGCTCCATATCCTGGGGGTGGGTCACGGAGGTGCATCAGACTCGTGTGGCCCTAGCCTGGAAGCTCCCAGGCTAGCTGGGGAGAGGGATGAGATGTGGTGACAAATGAACTCGTGTCAGTTTAAAATGCCATGGGGTCCAAGAGAAGGCGACAGGTAAACTGAGGCCAGGGATGGCTGGAGAATGTAGGCCAACAGGGAGCCGGGGAGCCGGGATGAGAACTGAGGTTCCTTGACGGTCAGAAGTCTTTCCACTGCAGTGCACTGCCCCCCACGGGGTGACAGCAGGGAGGCCTGCACCCAGGAGAGACCCCAATCAGGAAACCTTGGGACCGAATCTGGGAAAAGAAAGCAGCAAACGTGCCCACTTCCTGCCTGGGCCTTCATTCTGCCCCAGACCCTGTTAACGGACTTGCCACTCTGTCTCTGGCAGTCCCAAAATCTCTGACCAGAGATACACAACTCCTGCAGTTCCTTACTTTTTCCTGCAATCCCAGCATTGGGTAGTGTCTAGCAGCCTCTGAGAGCCACCTAAGCAGGGCCTGGGGACGCTCGGCGATGGTGTGATCGAAGCAAACACTGGACACCGACA